AGCTATACTATTAGACGGCCCTAGTGGTCGTATATCTATTAGCTATTATACTATACCCTTTAATACTCTTGGTTCTATTATAGCTTCTTTATCTACTTTAGTAGCTAGGGTTCGATACTAAGATCTAACTTACCGGTCCTATAGGTAGTATATATCTCGTTATAGTATATAATACTAGCTATTCTACTATATCTTAGGTATCGTATATATCTTTTATATATATAAGTGGAATCTTTATAAGGGTATCCTACTAGGTCGTTGCCTTCCTTAATTATATTAATAAGGTACTAGTCTAGTCTACTAGGCTATATCTTTCCTTTAAGATATCCCCTAGGCTTATTATCGGCCTCTTTATTATTTTAATAGTTCTTAAGACTATCTAGTGGTATTTCTAGGATTATTTAGTCGCTTCTTAGGAACGCGTTTATTATTCCTAGACTATTAGTGGTTCTAAGGGTCATAACTAGCGTTCCTAGGAGACCTACTTCTTATTCTTAGGAGTTACTAGACCGTTCTAAGGAGTAATCTAGCTCCTAGGGGATATACTAGGTCTATCCTTAGCTTTCTATAGTATCTTAGTTAATTTCTAGGTAATCGATATATAGCTTATTAACTAACCCTTTAACGTATAGGTTACCTACTAATATCTCTTCTAGGCTTAGGTTACTCTATCTTACTAAGAGATCTTTTAAAGATTCTATCTTTAGGTAGTCCTATTTAGTTTCTTAGGTCGTACGCAGTTCTTCGCGTATCACTTATATATATTACCGTTTCTCGTACAGTTTCTTTTACTTATATTCTCTCGTATAGTATCCTAGTTTTCTATATATAAAATAGAGATTCTTCTATTAACACTTATTTTACTTATCCTAAGTAGTATCTAATTCTATTAGCTTTAGGCTATATAGATTAGGGTCTTAAAGCGCTCTATTATAGCGCCTATTACTAAAATAGCTAAATCTATAACTCTTACCCTTTTTCTATTAGTCTATCTCTCGGTGTTTATATCATCGCTCGTTAATACGATTATTAATCTTAACTACGATTATAATAAGTTAGTCTAAGGTTTTAGGCTTATTAATTTATACTAATTCGTCTTTAATATCTAGTTTAAGTCCTACTTTAAAGTATAGAATATACACTTAGTTAGGTAAATCTAGATAGGATATAATTTACTAGAATTTAGAGGTATAGACTAACGCACTAGTTTATTATCTGATTTTCTATAGCTTATATTTAGCTATTTAGGTTATATTAATATCTCCGAAGGTTCGCTTAAGATATTAGCGGAACTTATTATAGTTACTAAAGATATCCGCGGTAGTTATAGACTAATCTCCTAGTACCTTCTTATAATAATCTCGAATATATAGTTTAAGCTAGTTCTATACTTATCTACGTAGGTAGGTTAATATAAAAATCACCCTATTAGCTTCGGATAGAAGCTTAGCTTTATTTATATTAAGGTATATATTTATTTAAGTAAGAAATCCTTAAAGCTTAGTTTAGTTTCCTTCGAAATACTTAGCCTTAGGTAACGCTAGCCCTTAGATAATACTAACTAGTGCTAAAGTAGTAACTTAGGTATATATTTACACTAGATAGTCCTCGACCTAGGTATTATACTTTTCTTACTCTTAAAGTTTATTTAACAAAGTCTTTACCTACTCCTTTAGTATCTTAATCCTATTATCTCTCTTAGCGTCGGAATTAAGGTTATCGTCTTAGACTAGCTTAGTTAGGACTTTCTTTCTAAGTTAAGATATATTAGTAGTTATAACTCGAAACTTAATTTAAAATAGTCTTTAATATATTACGTACTACTAACTAGTTATAGTTAGGTTAGATAGGTTCTAGGTATACTTACTTTAATACTCCTTATATATCTAACGTTAACGATCTATCGTAACTAAGCTATTACCTATAAGGCCTTACTATAGCCTAAGTCCTATTAAGAGATTAAGGAATGATATTAGTAAGAGTACCGAGTAGATCTATATTAGGGTATTAGTCTACTCGTAAGTATTATTAAGTTATAATTAAGTAAAGAGTTATAGTAGTCTAAAAGGTAAATATAAGTAATAATATATAATTAAAGACGAAGAACTAAACTAAGTATATAAATAAGTATCCTTATATATCTTTCGATTCCTACTCCTAGCGTGACTCCCTAGAGTCACCGCTAGAGTCGCTATATACTCCTATGTATACTTCTCTAAGTCGACGCGGGAGTTATAGTTACGTATCCCTAGTTCCGTATATAGCGATTCCTAGTGTAGGTGATATCTGATACCCTGAAGTATATACGTACCGGAAACCTCCTAGTAGGGAGTCTAATTAGGCTTGATTATGCTTTTGCTCACTAAGCGTAAATAGGTTTTCTCTTTCTTAAATACCTAGGGATACCAGAGTATTAGATACTGCACGTGATCTGCTAACAGATAGATTGGTTAGCTCTCGGTGGCCTATCTGTGCACCCGGTGGGGTACCATCGATTGGTGACGGGTAGTTCCGTAACAAGTAAATGGATAAAGATGGCGGTGTATCCCTAACGTATTCGGTAAGCGAGCTACGCACCCTACCCAAAACGCGCCCATGAATTAGGACCTAATTTATTCAACCACCTACCATGCCACTAATTTGCTCTCGAAGCTCTTAAAAATCAATAGCAAGAGGGTAGGATCTTATTAGCCGTACAGGCTATTAAGAATCAAGAAATCGGATCTATTCGTGGAGCAGCGCGCTACTATAAAGTAGACTTCGGCAGAACCTATTTTGGGTCGAAGCCTCCGACCCAAAACCCAATGGGTTAAACCCAATAACCCAATAATAACCCATTTAAACCCATTTTTGTATAAAAGTTCATAAAATACATATAATTCAGGTCTTGACATTTTTGAAGGGACTTTTTTAGTAGTATAAAATACTTTTTTGCTTTTATATATTTTAGTTTTGATATTGTACTACTTTTCGGATTATATATATATATCCAAATATTTGAATTTTTATATAAAATTTTTGTTTGTTTAGTTTACACTATTTTGGGGCCCCAATGGGTTACCTAATGGGTTTTGGGTTATTGCCTACCTATGGTTGGGTCGAAGTAATGGACCCAAAACTGGGTTGGGTTGGGTTTGGGTTATAGTGGGTCGTGCTGAAGTCTAGTTCTTAGTGCTACCGATACCAACCCCGGGAAGTAGTAGGTAAATATTCGGGATAGTGGTAGTATAACGCCCGATACTGACAAGAGCACGATCGGGGTGCAAAGTGGGCAAATCGGGCTATCCATCTCTTATCGCGCACTAAATGGGGCCCACGTAGCTGGGACATTATTTATTTTGGTAAGAAACGTATCCCAATTTTTCCTACACAAGCTGACTTCCGGTGTTGGCAGCTGGTAATCAAGTTGACTTTTATAACGAATTTAACGACTATTCGATTAAACCTAACGAGTTGATACAGGGGCTAAAGTCAGACTTCTACCCAAAGGATCTACCAGAGATCTCAGTACCCCTCGCAATTCCTTCTATCATACAAAAGATATATAAAAATTCAGTGCCGTATGTCACCGACCGAAAAAACTTGTATATTTTGGTTGACCTTTTTATTATAGGCTCGAAAAGATTTGCGAATGCCTAGGGTATGACCTTCAGAATTATAATCAACTTGACCTTTCTGGTCTTGAACAGCTTTTTATCGTGCCAAACGGTACTGGTCCAAACGATACCGGGGCAAAAAGAAAACGGAAAAGCGAGCTACCCCAAGCTTCGTCGAAAAGGTAATGTCGAGATGTATCATCTAGCTCACTAGAAGGTAGGACGCTATCGAAAATTTTACTTTTTCGGGGACTGATCTTTACAGGCGGTTATTTTGAAACTTCTGATGGGTCAGATTTGTCAATTCATGCCACACCTGCTCCATCGGCACCAAGTTCGGTTTCAGATTCTACAATGGATGGACTTTTCGAGGAGTTCCCACCCAGTACATCCAGTCTGACGGACGATTCACTGAACATAAATGCAAACGAAGACATGGTAGGTTGCAGGGTCGGCGATGCTAACTGTAGCCCTCTGATCAGCAACCACTCTGCACAACAAACCCTACTTCCTCAGTCGAATGTGGATCCGATTCATCGAGGGGACCACATACTTGATATCGCGCTGCCAAGTGATGCGCGTAGTCGAACATTATCGGCGGTAACAATGCCCAATCTCGAATTGGAAAGTCGTACCGATCAACTGTCTACGGCGGACCATTGTGTCAGGGTGAATGGGATGGTGGATCTCGAAACTAACTCATCACCCAACATGACGACCTCATCCACCAACACAACTCCCAGTCAGACCTCCCCCCCCCAAGCATATCACTCAGCAGCAAGGGAGCAAATCTGAGTTATGCAACTTGCAATTTCATACGCTACACACCGATAGTGAAGAAAGCCATTCTTGGAGGAGTCAAACCTACCCTAACAACGTGTCCTGCAATAGTGGGTGTGAAACAGCCAAGTGTGGGAATGGACATGTCTCTCATACTCGCCCAACACAGCTACCGGTTGACTGGTTGGACCAATACGGTTGGGAAACTGATGATACACTGCCCTCAGAGTCACCGCAAAACAATCCTCAACTACCACCATTGACTGACTGGTTGCAACAATACTTTTCCGACATTCTACAGCATGATCTTTCGCTATGCAGCCACTCGCCGCTACCCTCCTTATGCTCGGGCCAAGAGGCCGGCACAGCTATCTCGGGTAGTTTCCCGGAGTCCCAGCATCATTTACTATTTCGTTCTCCACTAGCGTCCAGAGAAGGCAGTTTTTCTTGGGATTTAGAGAATAGCTGTCACGCCCTCAGATTCTCAGACGCCATTCACCAGAATGCTTCTTATTCCCCGAAAGGAGTCTTTCAGTAATGTGAACAATAAAACAGAGAAATATACACTAATGGTAACATTTGAACTTCGTCGAATCCATTTTCTGCTTAAGCTGCAGATATACATCAGCGAGGCGCAACAATTAACGTAGTCGTACCAGCACCCACAACTGGGTTAATATTAACTTGCACGAAATGTCCGTCCTTCAATAGCCACCCGTTCACTACAATCCCTTTCGGTATTGGGATAAGGTATGCCGAGTTTGGAAGATTTAGTTTTGTAGGATTCTTCCAATGTCTCAAGCGTCCTTCCCAGTTCTAGTTGGATTAGTTCAAAAAAGTCTAGGGTAAACCTTGGAATAACATTCGAGCCTACCTCATCAATGCCGAGAGCGATTTTCATACGCGAAATCAACATCAAAAGCGCATCCCCCCCGTACTTCTTATTTCCGTTTTTATCTTCTTCAATTGTGGTGACTTGTGGTAGTAATGCCTTGATCTCTTTTCTGATTTCTTCGGCTTCATCGTCTAACGGTCGAGGGTCCATTAAGTGCGAGAGATAGTTCTAAACCTGAGCTCCTAATGGTAAGATCAGCTTAAATCGAATATGGCCGGTAATTTGAAATACCTTATGAGGGCGGAGGTAAGACTTGGTTGCCTTCACGCTGCGATTAAGAGGGGTAAATAAGTGATTATCAACAGCCAAGTGTAATTCTGACGCTAACTTAGGCCACTAACGTATTTCACTACCGAGTTGCGCACACCCCCGAGCTGCGCACCCCACCCAACCTATTAAATTCAATTGCATATATCTCAACTAAAACGCCATTAAATTAAATATAGTAAAATCATCTATCTACCGAGGCACCTATTGATTTTAGGCCCTATTTTTCCGCACCCACTATACCTTGGTGGGGCCCGTATACGTGGCTGTAAAGCCGGCGAGTCGCTTATTTGCGGCGGGGGTATAGGTACTTCCACTACTTCTACTATCTTAGTAATTAATTGAGAAGCCTCTTAAACTAAGAGGCCTTCTTTAGCGGGTATCTACCTTTAGGATTGAGCACGCTTTTACTTCTGCTTAGACTGCGGCATATCTAGACTGCGACATCGCCCGTCCATGGGCACCTAGGAGGTGCCCATCGCCCGTCCACGGTGGGCGGTGGGCTATTTGGATTTTCGAGTGCCCGTCCATAACGCCCACGGCCCATGGGCATGCCCATCGCGGGCATGCCCACTATGCCCACCATATTATAAAGTTGTCTTGAATATATATAAAAATTAGATATATAGTAAATTACACTATATATATTTATATATATCTTATTAGAAATCCGGAATTATGATTGTAAGTATGTTAAAAATATGAATTTAGTTGAAATATTTTGAAATTCATCAAAAAAGATCACGTGTTACGCTAATTTTGCTTACTAAAAAGGCCCATGGGCGCCCATGACGCCCACGGCCCGTGGGCCCTAAGGGTAGGGCCCGTCCATGGGCCTATCCATAGGGCCCATTTCCCGCTTACATAAGGCCCATGGGCTATGCCCACCCGCCCGTCCATGGGCGATGTCGCAGTCTAATTACCTATAATGCTAGAGGAAATCTGGTTACTAGAATAGTGCCTGTTATTGTTAGCGATCCGGGAGAAACTTACGTTTTAATTGAGCAAGAGGTTGGTAGTGCACTCCGTGCTACTAGTCCCTCTATACCAGCATTTGCAGCTAGCGCTGAATATCGTTGTAAACTTACGTTTTTCCACGATTCTCAACACTTTGGATTTAGTACGTTATCAGTGTGCGAGATTCTTGTTCAATCGAGCCTTAATAGGTTATTTCCATTGCTAGGATCAACGAGTTATCCCCGCCTCTATGCCCTAAGCCAAATTCTTCGCTAGACAGAGTTAAATACAAGCCCTGCAACTTTGTTAGTGGGCGGAAAGATGCACCATCTAGTTCTAGATAGAACACCTGATAGAAACCAGTCACATATCCTTCCCGTCTTACGTATACTGATCCATAATGCCTACCTAGCAATTTTTGCGGAGAACGCAAACGCTACTAGACGGAACCTGGCAAGCGTACTCCACCAGCTGAAGGATATGTGAAGTCAAGATTATTTCTGCTACTGCTACGTCAGGAATCGTTTGACACTAGGTCAGGTCACCAATCTACCTACGACCAACACCTGGGAGAACGATTATCCGTAAATGAGAAATCCCAATGTCATCGACTATGGCTATAATCCTCGAGTGTTTTTGCGATAGAACAAGTGGTGCTTGATCATCCACAGGGCAACACTCAGATTTAATTAACGGAGATAAGAGAATAAGTGCCATTTATTACCACAAAAGGTCACTAAGGAAGCCTTGGCTGCGGTAGGCCTCCCTATAGGAAGAGGGTGGCAAGGGAGTGCACCTCAGCTAGCTAATAATTCAATAACATTGACCCAACTCTGACTTGATCTACAACCAGTAGGTACTCTAGTGAAGTTCCAAGTCATCATACAATAAGCACCTGTTAACAAGATGATTCACTACATCTTGATCTATTGGCAGGTTTTAGATCTCCCAAATCAACCGTGATATCTCCTCCGGTATTCCAGAGCGCAACTTTGCAGTCATTCGGTAAAGGGCGACACGAAAGTTCAATAACTCAGCGGTATAAGCTTTGCGTCTCCGATAACCTACTAGATTATAGGAGCACTAGCGAGCTTCGATCGTACATTTCGTACATAGGGTTATACCAGAACACTACACTAGGTTAGCTATATCCTTAAATAGAGGATCTTTCTAACCTTAGACTTTCTTTTCTAGCACTCGGTATAGGCCAGAGAGACTCGCCAAGACTTTATCGGCGACTCGGATTCTAAATACCGCATACTCGATCCTTTTTTTTCTAGGCAGGAGCTCGCGCAGAACATTATTCTTCGACATTGCAGGATAAGAAGAAGAGGTTTAGATCTAAGAGTGGGCTTCGAAGACGACGATTTAGGAGAGTTTTAAGAGCCAAAGGGTTTAGGGAGTCAGTCAATCACTATTTCTATTCTCCTTTCACATCCCTAATCGCAATTTTCTTTGTTTGCTAGAAAATCATCTAGAGCAAACAAAGATCCCAGCTATAAGACCTACGTTCGGGAATCACGCCGTAATCCGATTAGTAGGTTGCAAATCAGACGGAAGTAAGTATCGGCTCTTATTAGCTATAAGTGGTAGGATATCCTAGACCCCCGCATGATACTGAGTTAGGTCGGTCTGCTTAACGTAACAAGTATTTTTTTATGAAATAGGCAGGTATAGCACCTTGTCTCGTCCGATACAGTCAACAATGACACCCGAATTGTCAATCAACCGCCGAGTGTTGGATAAATAAAGCTTCCAAATTTTCAAGTCGAGGGGTGACTACTTTCAGTTCTTTGCTCATTGAGATATTACCAGCTTCTAGTTCCTCCTTCTTCTTCTGCTCTAACAAAAATATTGATTTCAAGTTCGAACCAGCGTTTTTATGTTATTGATTGTCTTATTCTTTTCTTCCAAATTGTTCTTAGGTGTGCTGATTTGTATAGCAGATTAGGAGACTTTGGTGGCCTCTCGCGTGTGAGGCAATGGATACTCGGACCGGAATTTACCTACAGATTAAAAGCACACAAGGAAGGGAGGGCGAAGTGGGCATAAAAAATGGAGATAGTTATTAGGAGAGGACCGACATATTAGAGGAGGAGTTAGTAATAGCAGATTGGCAAGTATCTGAGAAAAGAATATCTGAGAACATCCTTTTAGACGGCTCTGGTTTAGGCCCTGCCCCCGTTACTCCTTTAGTTGAGAGCCCCCGAGATTATCTAACGGCACCAGTGCAACAGTATCTACAGTGTGGCCGCTCTTTGTCACCTTCTTGCGGAGCTTATGTACAGTTTATATAAACTAAGTCTGATACCTTGGCGGAGGCCATGGCGAAAATTCTGAAATACGTCATTTCGAGACACATTGTAGAAGCCACACTCTCCATTGTCTTACTTTCTTTCAATAAGTACTACAACTTTTTTGTTCCGATACTCAAGATGAATTCTCGATACCTCCAATTTAGGTACTGATTAGCTCTTGCTCTCAAAAAGCGAAAGACGACGTCTGGGCCAAGGTGTAGAGCGTCGCTATCATTCGTACAAGGGTGGGGCTGTGGACCAAACATTGGGCGAGGACCGCTCCGTCGTCAGCTTAAAGCCTCGGCCATAACGATCCTTGAATTCCGATGAAGGTTGATCTTGCAAGCCTTCGTCTTGCATGGAATGCCCTGCTGAAGGCGAGCCCCTATGATCAGTATTCGCAAAGTTGACCCTGGTCATATCCCTCGACAACTGTTGAAGCGATGCATCACTCAGATGGCCCCCAACTTGCCTCGTCCTCCATCCCAGCCCCCGGTTTCTACCATGAATTATTTTCTCATTGGTGGAGACCATGAATTGAATGGCGTCACCAGTGGCATAATTATCGATCGTACTAGGATTCTCGTTTAAATGAGCTCCAGCATTCGAACAGATATGCATACACTGGCGAGTTGTCTCCCACTCTTCTTGTAACCTAAGAAGTTCTGCAATGTCCTCCTGAGAGGCTGTACTTGTCTTTGTCTTAGTCACGATTCGGTCCATCAGTATCTTAAGATGATCCTCCAGCTTCGCAGCGGTGTTCATAAGGCTATTTTTGCATTCCTGCAAACCCTCGTTGGTGACTCTTTCGGGCACGTTGCTCGAACTGGAAGAATCAGTGGAGCTGTCCCGAGCTTTCCGCAACTTTTGAATTTGATCAATGTGGCTTGATAACTGTGCACATATTTCGAGACACTTTTGGGTGCTCAGACGTTCCTCCTCCATCAGCTGGATTTCCCCAGCGTCCGTGTTTGTGCTTCGTGTATTCTTGGCGATAATATTCTCGAGCTTTTCGTCAATACTCTCTAAATGTGTTTCGAGGTCATTGGTGGTGGTTTCAATCATTTCCTTGTAGCTTTCAAGGCCATCAACTGTGTTGGAGGACTGTCGGCTAGAAAGGCATATCAGCGTTAGTGAAAAATTACTAATATGCACAAGAAGACTCACAGATTTGCATCAGTGAGGGCAATGATGATAGTTGATTTATAGCCAGCTAACATTCGTCTGAAACCATCAATGTCTTCGCCCATGTAATTTAATTTGGCCCAGTCTCGAAAGCTCGTTTTGCCGGCAAGAGATCGCGTCGAACATTTCTTGAGCTCCTCCTCGAAATCTTTACAGGCATTTGCACAACGGAGGAGAGGATATTCGAGACTAGCGAGTTCTGTATCGGTGTTCGCATTCAAGGTCTCTGCTAGAGCTCCGAGAACTCCGGTCAGACCCTCAAGCTCCTCCGTTAGGTCGCGTACGCGTTTTGGATGAGATCGGTAGCTTTGAACTACATCGAAGAGGGCACTGCTGGATTGAAATGCAAATGTAGCCAAAGCCACCAGGCCAGAAGCTATGCCAATGGGTTCAGCCATTGAGCGTCGCTTGATGATGCGTAGGTAGTGCTGGAATGGTTGGAAT